AATGAGGATTAATGCCCCACAAAAGGGCACTAATATAGCACATCGACACGGTTTTGATCCTGGGGCCTCACAGTTACGAGGCCATTGTTTTGTCACTGAACCATGACTGTACGCAGCGGGGGCTAGGGTAGGGGGCAGTTTCCATAAACAAACAAAAACACAGAAAAAGCAATAAATTTTCAATAATTTATTGCATTTTACCCCGGTCCCCAACATAAAAAAATCCTCTGGACGGCTTTGCATTATGGCTCAAGGCAAAGGCACACATAATTTTTTGTTTTTGTTAGGCACCGGGATTAAATGCAATAAATTATTGAAAATTTATTGAATTTTCTGTTTGTTTTTTTAATTTATGGAAACAGCCCCCTACCCCAGCCCCCGCTGCGTACAGTCATGGTTCAGTGACAAAGCAATGGCCTTGTAACTGTGAGGCCCCAGGATCAAAACCGTGTCGATGTGCTATATTAGTGCCCTTTTGTGGGGCATTAATCCTCATTACTGTCATTTATGACTTAAGGGCATAGGTCCCCTAGTTGATAAGCATAGTAGCATACTCATGCTTTAGCAGTCACGCAAAACACACATTGGCAAATTATTATTCAATAAAATCTGAGAATGTATACTATTATCTAGATCTATTATTTTTAAATTATTTTTAAAATAATTCCATTAATTGGAATTAAAAAAAAATATTCCACCTTTATGAGCGACAGTGTATGAACAGCGACCCTCATTTCGTATTATGAATAGCGACCCTCTGCTCCTATTATGAACAGCGACCCTCATTTCGTATTATGAATAGAGACCCTCATTTCGTATTTTGAATAGCGGTCCTTATGGAAAATGACCCTCAACGTAAATTATGAATAGCGCCCCTTCTTCATGTTGATGAATAGCGATCCCGATTCCTTATTATGAATAGCGGTCCTTACGAGTAATAATAATAATAATACTCTGTTTTTATATAGCGTTTATTGCAATCACTAAGCGCTTCCAAACTTGGAGATTATTAGCCGGCTTTAGCTGTGCTGCCATTAAGGCGCTCTAGCATTTCAAAGAATGAATTCCTGCCATGTACCCTCAATGTGAGCTATGAATAGCGACCCTCATCCCACATTGTGAATAGCGGTCCTTACGATTAACGGTCCTTATGAATAGCGGTCCCGTAGGTATGGGAAGTTACACGTTATGAATATAGCGGTCCTTATGAATAGCGGTCCCGTAGGTATGGGAAGTTACACGTTATGAATATAGCGGTCCTTATGAATAGCGACCAGACTCTGAGACCACGACACAATCGGACACATCTACATGGTAACATGACAAAGCATCTAACTATAACGCATTATAATTTCTTTCCAAAATTGTTGATAAAGCTTACAGATACTTTATAAACATAAAAAGCATTTTCTCTGAGAAATGCCAGCTTCCATCCAATTATATACATTTGGTCCAATGTTTTTAGATATGCACCAAATATCTTTTAATACATAGGCATATAGTATCTTTAAATAAAAAAAGATTCACCTCGTCATTTTGTAATTAAAGTGCAATTAATATGTGGAAAAGGAAAGCAACTGTCGTCTGATATTAGTATATAAACATTTATATAAAAGAAAAGAAAAGAAAGAAAAATAGGGGGAACTTCAACAATGAGCTTGAGTCGAGCATTTTATTGAGAACGTCAATTTTGATTAGATTTGCTGTTCATTTATATACTATATACATTATCACACATAAATATCATTTTTTTTCTTCATGTATGGTCACATAAAATCATACATAGAAAAAGAGGTCGTTATAAGCACAGCTTAAAGCCCGACTGCATTACTTATAGCTACTTGCGCCCTCTTTATAGCAAACAATGCCTAATCGGTGACCAATGGTCCCCCATGATCCTCCTTTCTTATATTATTGAGAGCTGATTTAATGAGATAACCACCTGTCAGTGACCTTACAGGGTGGTCTAATCTCTCCTGTAAACTAGTAGGCTCACAGATGGGCTTTAAGGTGACGACCACATCATAATTGTAAGAAGCACATCAGTGTCAGGCGCGGATCTACGGGGGGGGGGGGGTTTAGGGGGTTTAAACCCCCCCCCCTTGGGCGGCCCAAAAAAAAAAAAAAAAAAAAAAAAAAGAAAGAAAAAAGAACGCACGCTGGAGAGAAACCCTTTCAAGTGCAAATATTGTGAGAAGATATTCAACTCATCTGGTAACTTAACCAAACACATGATAACTCTGGATATAACTGTGTATTTACTGTTACTTGATTTAAAAAGACGTTATCATGCACTGCTTTTTATGGTCTCCATTGTGTTAATAGATGCCAGGAAAACATCACTTACGGAGTTCAAATAAACACCCCCAAAAAAATCGGCTCGCCGCTTCGCGGCTCATGGACGATGCTCCGCATCGTCATTATTTTGGTCAACCCCCCCCCCTTAGCAAAAAGCTAGATCCGCCCCTGAGTGTTCGGAAAAGTTTCTTCGTATTATTAACAACAGAACGACATTTGTGCAATGTGTCAGACTGGGGACAGGGGCTTTCTTTTCCGTTTCAAAGTATAATACAGCCTTCTTTACCAACTTATATAAAAGCCTCATTATCATTAATCTAGCTCTTTCTGAGGGCCCTCGTTATATAGGGCAGTCATGGACGTGGCTTTATTTAAACATACTCCAAGTGATTCTCTTTTAACAAGACTTTGTCTATGCTATATTAAACATCTTGGGTTTCCTTCACAATGCAACATCTTGGACTTAAAAACAATGTGTGGGATTATAGGGAATAACCTTACACGGTAGTACAGGACTTATAGGTGCAGTACAGAGCATATTATGGATCATATAGCGAGGCTATGGGAGTAGTCGGTGCCATCTACACAGAGTTTGGCCAGTTGGATTGAGTTGGTCACACCACGGCGTATATATTATCTTTACTTTTGTGCCTAAGCATATTTTACTCAAGACCGGGCATGCAAACAAAAGATATTTCAACTTTCAAGTTTCAGGTTTTATTTGTTCCACATTTTACAGAAAATATAAACATACATCTAAAATAAAAATTATACAATAAAGTTGTAGTATAAAGTGAGCACATATTAAGCTAGCACATTATCAATGATTCTCAAGTCATAAAATAGATTAAGTAGAATGTGAGGAACCTATTAAAAAAGCAATGCTTGTATAATATAGGTTCCTGAAAAAATAAGTAATGTTGATGGAAAACAGTAGCAGTAGAGAAAGACGTAATTTAGAGGAGAGAATTTAAAACACAATGAAAATAAGGACATTTGTATACAAAATATTGCATTAGCACCAATACCCAAGTCACCCGGTTAAAATGCGTAGTCGAAATGCGTAGTCACCCGAGCAATTTAGTAAGCATAGCACAAAGCAATAATTTGTTTATAAACATTACAAAACCGGAACATGCACCATTAATTAACATTTAAGATTATCATTGAAGAAAAAAGGACTGTGAGGAGGGTAAACAAATTATATTAGATGTAAGAATTTAAAAGAAAAATTCGAAGTTTGCGTTTAGAGCAATTTAACAATGGTGCTTCCTTAACCTCCGAATCCAAACCATTCCAAAAAGAGGGACCGGTATACATGATTGCTTTGGGGTAAAAACTGTCCGGATTGGGGGGAGATGGCAGTTGTCTCTTTGTCTTGTGGGATAGGAGTGAATAACGCTGTTCAAAGCGAACATAGGAGGGAATATGTTGGGCAAATCATCCTTACTTAGCTGATACATGAACATTCCGAGGAAATAATTGTATAAATCAGGTACTTTCAGAAAACGATTTGCAAGAAATAATACGTTAGTGTGTGCCTGGAAATCTGCCAGATTTATTATTTTATTGCTCTTTTTTGGATAATGAAAATCGAATTGATTTTTGTTTTTGAACAATTTCCCCACGCTAGCACCCCGTAGTTTAGACAAGGAAGCAGCAGAGTTGAGTATAATATTTTTAAGACATGAGATGGAAAAAAAAGTTTTCAACTTATTTATTACACCTACGTTCCTAGACAACAGTTTACAATCATGATCACTTTGAGTATTCCATGTTAATTTACAGTTAATAAAAAGACCAAGAAATTCAATGGAGTTTATTTGGGTTAAGGGTAAGCCATTAACCAAAACTTGTCCTGGTAGCTCAGATAGTGTATTGCCGAAAATCATAAAATTAGTTTTGTTCAGATTCAGGGACAATTTGTTTGCTTGTATCCATTCAGCTACGAAAAGCAATTCAAAATTCAGGGAATCAACAAGAATTCTAGGATTGGGATGTGAGCAAAAAATGCTTGAGTCGTCTGCAAAGTGTAGGAACGAGAGAACTGTAGTGGAATTTATGAAATCGTTTATATAGATAATAAAAAGAAGCGGGCCCAAGAGAGAGCCTTGTGGCACCCCACAAGTTGTTGATTCAATACTTGAGTTACAATCATTTATAGAGACAAATTGGGTTCTGTTGGTAAGGTAATTTCTGAACCACTCCAAGGCCGTTCCTCGAATGCCATAATAGGCAAGTTTATATGGTAAAATTTCGTGATTAATTGTCGAAGGCCTTGGAGAAGCACGTCCATCAATTTAACAGTGATTATTCTAAAATGCTTATAGTGGGACCTCTCCATGTGTAAAAGGTCTACCGATATATAGTTGGAGGTCAAACTACGAACTGGTCTTATGGCGCAAAGTGCATAATTATCAGAAATATTGCTATATCAATAATTATTGATTCGAACCATCTGCTTTCGAGCACCCCTTCACGCCTCCCCCCCCCCCCCACTCACATAGTACACACAAACCCTCCAGGACCCTCCTGGCGCCCTCGCGCGTGCACACACACACACACACACACACTCGCACATAATTATCAGCACTGAATTTCCATTTTTGTCTTTAGCATAATTGTTTATATATAGAGACATAACATTTATTAGTATAAAATATAATAGCAATAAAAGAAAAATACATCCGTTTCCAATTTTTTCAAGGAAAAAAACTGATCACTTTAACCCTTTAAAAAAACATTTCCTGAAAAGATCTAAATGGTTAGTTCGACCATATTTGAAGTTTACAGATGAAGTAATGGACAACCCCTGAGGGTGGTTGTACACACGGTCCATCACGCCACAGTCCAGGGTAAATGCGGGCCGCTCCCGATCGGATAACGCCGCAGTCAGAATTAGTTGTACTGGCGTCTGGTTGACGTGGTGCCCATGCGGTGTAGTCGATGTCGGACCCGTCTGACCACTTGAATTCACCTTCGGTGGTCAAATCGTGAATGCCAAGCCAAAGTCCTCCGATAGTATCCTAAAAAATATGTACGGGAGTATGTTTACTAGTATTTGGAATGACGTTGAATGGTTTAGATTAAATCTATGTAATACAGTGGCGTAATGAGAGGGGGTCAGAACTGATTCGCATCACCACCAAGTAGCATAACGCAGGGGCGGCGTGCGTCTTCCAGAATATGAAGGGGGACCTACAAAGGGAAACAGTAAAAAAAAATACTGATAATATCTATAAAAGCGAGCGAGCGTAGTGAGCGAATTCTATGAAAAAAATTATACTGGAAAAAGGGGTGCGCCAGAGAACGCGCAACATGCTGACGCAGCCCTACGCCAATTAGCAATAACGCATTGTGTGCAAAATGCATTAGACAAAATAATAAAATATGGAAACTTACGTCTTTCTTTCGTGAAGTTTCGTAGAGAATATTGATGAAGTTTTGCTCTGCATGAGAATGAACCGAGACCAAATGAGCCAAAGTGTCCATGCTTGCTAGCCCGCCCCCTAGAGAGGGCACGGTGTAACTCTGGCAAAACGTCTCGGCATCGGACCAAGTCAAATTCTGGCTAAACAACCTGTCGAAAGGATAAAATAATTTCACGAAGATTGACATATAAATAGCCTGGCGGGGCTACTCACATATTAAGACATCCGAGGGTGTGCCGCTGTACCGAGTCACTTTTTCATACAAATATCCCTAAACATGGGTCCCATTTTTAACAGAAATATCCCAAAAACAAGGGTCCGTTTTGATACCAAGGCCTCGTCTTACATGCGCAGATACAGGGGGATGGCCGAGCAGGCCTTGGCCCCCTTCTACCCCCCCCCCTTCCCCCAAAAAGCGCTCACTATGCCACCCCCTCCCACTGAGCGAAATATCGACCGGCGCGATTTTCAAATTTTCGGAGTCAAAATAGGGAAAAAAATATAAGTGCTCACAGACAGAGAATTCAGGGATTAAAAGTAAAACAGGAGTGATGTCGCAAAAGAGGGGAGCTAGAGAGAAACAAGGAGGAGGGGGGGGGGGGGGGAGCTATAGGAGTAGCAGAACTTACCTGTAACAATGTCGATCAAAGGCTGTCCAAAACGTAGGGCAGCAACAGCCCGCATCCACCCCCGTGGGAATGGCAAGCAGAAGGATAGCTGATGCGACAAGGAGCAACATGGTCTTATCTCGAAGATCCAGCTCTAAGACATCTATTTTCCTACAGTTAATGTTAGATATTGACAACTCTGCATTGACCGTCAATAATATTATAGTCCCGTCTCAACAACCACGGTTTACGTTGATAATCCAAAATATGTCGTCAGATCATGTATTTTTCTGAACTTACAGATCATAAATTTGTAACACTATCCGAAAGAACAATGGCTTTACACAGAAGCCATGCCTCATGCAGGTTAATTGTTATCAGCAGAACCAAGCTTTAGAACAATATTATTGCAGAAAATAATTGGACTTGAAACTTTGGGACTGACCTAGAGAAAGGATATCCAGGTTGAATTACGTTCGCTCTTTTCAACAAGCACTTTCTTCCTCTAAACACAAATATTTATCAATTCTGATATCCTGATCCATTTAATGATACGCGATAATTAGCCATTAGCGCTTTCCTCTGACCGTATGATTCATCCAGTGGCGTATCCAGACCTTGTCCCCCAGAGGAGATCCCCCCCCCCCAAAAAAATAATATCAATCACCGTATTATTATAGATAACCACTTCAACCTGCGCCCCCGTTTCCCTCTTTTATATACGTTTACAAGTAGGTCGTCCATGCTTGACACTAGGGACTTTTAGATTCGCACGAAGACAATGGGGATTGCTACGATCGACGTCCTTTTAATGCACTGCCTTGAATGGACGTCACACGTTTCAGTCCACGCAAATCTAAAAGTCTCTATTACTCCTCTTTTCCCCTTTTCACTTCTTTTCGAATCTAAACTTTATTTTATTATTTTGTATAGAATCCTGCCCATATTTCATGGATTCTCAAAAGCAGTGCGCTCCATGTGTTTATTATAACAAAACATATGAACCGATAAAATTAGAATTTCCCGAGTGATATCATGTCGAGGCCGCGCATGCAGGCTAGGCCGAGGTTGAAATACAATAGCACTTAACCTATTTGATGTATGATAAATATTTGGAAATATAATTATGTCATATCGACTCAAGCATTCATGCTTATGAGTTGGCCTCTGCATTTATCTTGATACTTTGACTTAGGGCCTACCTCATACCTTCAAGTCTTCAATTATATATATGCATTTGTTATGTGTGTGTATTTCAGTTGTCACTCATTATTATATCATTATACTTTTATTGTTATTTTAATGTTTTGTTTTTGATTTATCAATCAATGCAGAAACGTCTGCTAAACAAAAAAATATAAAAGCAACTAATATATCAAGGATGAGCAATTTTTAACAATGAAAACAACATTTAGAAGTAATATCCCCAACCAGTATATAACATAGACTGCCGAAAGAGGTTTGAGTTCATTCCGAAATTGTGCCTTTTTTTTTTCTTTCCGAGACTTTGAACACGGCGAAGACAAGTTGTTAGAACTATTGAAAGAGTGCAAGGTAAACGTTTGAAAGCTCTGTTTTTGGTATATATCAATGATTTGCCTCGACCATCAGATGATAATTTCTTCAATTACAGATTAATTGCAGATGATTCAACTTTTTTCAATGCATTTCCTCCAATCAAGTAAACATAACCTGACTTAAATAAAATCTTCACGAAGTGACGGTAGTGAGGAAAATCTGCACGCAAATTGAATGCGATTTCCATTCACTACCGTCACTTCGTGAAAATAGGGACGAAATGATTGGTCATATCGATGAAAACAAATTATATGGTGATTATACGGTCAAGAAGGAAACAGATTTTGTCTGAGTTTTAATCAAAATGCACGGCCATGCATGGTCTGAACGAGGTTGAAGTTGCATCCCTGAACATTGATTGGATTAATATTGATAACTCGTTTATGGAAAGATCATATAAAGGGAATATGCATAATCCTTAGCATTTTTTGTTGTTGGAATTACTCATCGATTAAGCCATTTTGTTCTGCAATACATTATTAGCATTGTTTATTATTCTTTTGTTCACCCACACAGCTCCAACGGCCTTGAGGTCTGGTGTGCAAATCAGTGACTTCCTAACATTATGTTGACATGATACTGATTACAAAGGTACACTGATTATTACCAGCCTGGATATCCCGGGGGGGGGGGGTCGGCTATTATACACCAATGCTACCCACTCGTTTCCCAACCTCTGAAATGGACCCCCTATATATAGAGTTTGTTTGTTTGTTTGTTTGTTTGTTTTATTTCCACTTTTTCATATCAATACAAAGAAACATACAAATGAATATAATGAATAACATGTAAGTTTGACAAAGTTTGTTTCTAGTTTAAATAAAAGTTTCATACTGTTACAAAAGGAAAAAGCAGGAGACCACATGTCGTAAGCGTAAATGCTTGAACATGACCGTGGCCTCTGCCGAGTTAACAAAATAAAAGAACAACCCATGCAACTGCATTGTATTCAATGTTAAATAAGATATAAGTGAAGTGATTAAAAGTGAGCATGGCTGATTTAATTTTGAGTGAAAATAACAAAACAAATTTAGTGAAATATTTCGTGTTGAGAAGTGCATTTGTGCAAGGTGCAAAAAATTTAGCTTGGTGGAACAAAAAGAGACTAATACCGTGATATTTAATTGTGTGTTGGTTTCAGTTACGGGTGATAATATTAAAATGTATGCAGGGTCCATTTCTGTTGACAAAGACAGAACAATTCAAGACATAACAAATTAGATAATTTTTAAATTTCTATGTTATAAGATCTAGTAAACTATACTGAGTTAACAAATATGCTTTCATATAAGCTTTAAAAGAATAAAGGGAGGTCCTAGTTTTAATATGGTTCGGTAAGTTATTCCAAATATCTGGTCCATGGTGTCTAATTGATCGTAGGGCTAAACTAAGTTTGGGATTATTAAGATGGTAATCATGAGCATGTCGAGTTAAATATGAGTGTACGTTTACATTTAATAAATAAAAGTTTAAGAAAGATGCTGGAAGAGTTTTGGAAGTGTACTTATACATAAAAATGGCAGTTTGGAGCGTATGTATATCATAAACCTTTAATGTTTTTAATTGACTAAATAACGGGTTCGAATTTGCAAGATAGTTAGAGTGTGTACAAATACGAATTGCTCTCTTCTGCAAAAGAAATATTGAGTTTATTTTAGTTTTACTACAGTTTGCCCATATAATATTACAATATGTTATATATGGTAAAATTAAAGTATTATAAAGCATAAACAAAGATCTATCATTTATCAAACATTTCATTTTATACAAAATACCAATATTCCGGGATATCAAAATATTTATGTTATGAATGTGTTCGTTCCAAGACAAATTTGAGTCAATAATAACTCCTACCAGGGATAAACCATCTATAAACAAATTACATTGTGGTTGGTCTTGGGAGTTAATAGTTCTAAAACGGATAAAATTAGTTTTACTTATATTTAAGGATAATTTATTACATTTAAACCATATTGAAATATTACACAAATCATGATTTACAGTATCAACGAGTGTATCAATATTTTTGTGTGAGTAAAGTATATTTGTATCGTCGGCAAAAAGAATGTAAGTTAGAATATTTGATGATTTTATTATATCATTTACATAAATCAAAAATAAGAGCGGGCCTAAGATGGAGCCTTGAGGAACTCCACATGTGAGGTTCAATTTTGAGGAACTATTAGAATGATAATAAACATACTGTGTTCTATTTTTAAGATAGTCCTCAAACCAGGATAGAGCAAGGCCTCTGATACCATAGTGTTCTAGTTTATGAAGTAAGATTGTATGATCAATGGTATCAAAGGCCTTACTCAGATCCATAAAAACACCTATAACATGCTTCTTATTTGCGAGAGATTCAATTATTTTATCACAAAGTTTAATTAAAGCAAAATCAGTTGAATGATTTTTCCTAAATCCAAACTGGTTAGGAATCAAAATATCGTGCTTATTCAAAAAAGAAATCAATCTTTTATATACCAATTTCTCAAAAACCTTTGAAATACTTGATAATAATGATATGGGACGATAATTTTGAAGTTTCGATGGGTCATCTTTTTTATGAATCGGTATAACCTTAGCAATTTTTAATAAGTTAGGACAGGAACCAGTGGAAAGAGAAATGTTACATAATATATGAACCAATGGAGAAACAATAAAGTGTATTATTTGCTTAATGAGATTCATACTTAACCCATCTGGTCCTGATGACTTGCTTGATTTCAGTGATTGAACTATACTAACTACCTCATGAATTGTTGTGGGAGTAAAGAATAATGAATTTTCAGAGGGTTCTAAAAGATATTGAGAAAAATGATTGTTGCCAGCATCTATCTTAGAGGCTAATGTGGGACCTACATTAACAAAGTACTCATTAAAATAATTAGCACATTCATTCAAATTATTAATGTCTTGTCCATTAACATTAATGGTTGTATTAATATGTTTTTTTCTTACCCGTAAGATCTTTGATAATATTCCAAAGAGAATTATTGTTTTGAGTACTCGCAATTTTATTTGAGTAATATAATTTGCGGGATAGCCGAATAATAGATGTTAACTTATTTCTATATTTTTTATATTTATCTAAATCAATATGATCTTTACTTCTTAACGCTTTCTTATATAATCGATTGCGAGTCGCAATCGATCGTAAAATGCCCCTCGTTGTCCATGGTTTCTTAGCCTTTTTTTTATTTAACTTAATTCGAACCAAAGGTATATTTTTGTTGTAATAATACATTAATTTATTCAAAAATATATCGTAAGCATCATTTGCAACTACTAAATTAAATACATCAACCCAAGATTCTGATGCTAAGTCCGCCCGAAAGCTCTGAATATTAGCATCCGTTTCTTTCCGAACGTATATATACTTCATGGACTCATGTTTAAATAACTGAATTGTAGGGGAAATAACAAATATGGGGAAGTGATCAGAAATATCAGAATACAATATTCCATTCTGACTGTTTTCATTAAAAATATTCGAAAATATATTGTCTATTAAAGTTTCAGTTATACTAGTTATTCGGGTAGCTTTGTTAATATGTGGATGGAGGGAATAAGAAGAGAGTGTAGTTAGTAACCTAAGTCCAATATTATTCAATGCAGGTGGTAGAAGATTAATATTATAATCCCCCATAAGATATATGATTTTATTTTCACGCGATATTAAAGAAAGACTTTCTTCTAATCTATCTACAAACGTATCAATATTACTATGAGGAGGTCTATACATTACTCCAACAAGTATATTTTTAGCTTGTTTATTTATAATTTCAATAAAAATATATTCGGAGCCATCTACACTTAAGTCAGGTCTCTCTTTAAATGTTAAGGAATCATGAATGTACAAGGCTACTCCACCCCCTCGTCCATAATTACGATCAGCTCTAATTAGTTTATAATTTTCAATATTAAATAAAGGAGGTGATTTATTATTCAACCATGTTTCCGTTATCCCTATTATGGAAAACGGAAAATGTTGTATAGAAGAAAAAAATAAATCCATAGAATCGAAGTTTTTATTCATGCTTCTAGCATTAATATGCAACAAACTAAGGGACTGTTGATTATGGCCATCATTATTTAAATTAAAAGCAGCGTTGAAATCGTCAGTAGTAAAATATGTTGACTCATTTTCTGTTACATCTTGGTTAATTTCTAAATCAAAATTCATATGACTAAATTCAATATAGGCCTACAATTATCAAATAAAATAATTAAGAAATGGGCCCATGTAATGATTTGAATATGATGTAGAATAATAAAGTCTGTTTGATATGTAACGTTAAGTATGTAAAATGTTTCACTTCGTACTAGTCTCAATATAAACAGTCGTTTCACCGTGGGTGCATGTGCAATGACTTGTGCAAGTGCTAAAATAATACAAAGAATGGTGAGTGAATGAACGGAACAGCGAATTGCAGCCATTGGTGGCGGTTCCGGTTTAGTACTGACCACCGCCAGTTCAGGAAAAAAAAGGGGAAAAAAAGAAAAAAAAGAAAGAAAAGGGGGGGGGGGAATAATTAAACATGAGAGAACGTACAGTATTAAAGGCAAATATGTGTGGGTATATACAGGGACAGGTAAGAGGAATGCAGGTTAGAATAGATCATTTAAATGCGCAAGAGTGTATAGGTTACGAGGCTCCAAAGAAATAGATCAGGGTCTGCCTTTCATAATTATGCTACAACAGTATTGATGGTAAACAGCAAGGAATTTATATTACAGTGAATCGTATCGACACAGTTAACAATGTATTTTTATTCGACTTTATTTAACAATAAGAATGTTACACCTGCGAATTACCACGCAGTTAACCTCAATACATGTGGGCAGTTCTTAAACAAATAATAACAAAGACAATATAAAGAAAGAGGAACAGATCGCAATCTAGAGTCTTAATCTGTAAAAAGGGAATTGTTAACAATCAAGATAAAGTTGTTTAAGATCAATCCTTCCAATAAAATGTGTTTATATTACATAACATAACAGACGTAGGGAATAGATTTAAAAAACAACGGAAATTCTACAGTGTTAACATTTAGAAAGCATGTTTTCTGTTGTGGGGCAATTCCACGGTAACGGAAGGACACTCAGACAAGATTTTTGAACTTCAGGTTCATACTAAAAGAACTGTTTTATTAGTATAAGATGTGAAACAGTACAGATATAATACCTATATAAGTGCCTTTAATTCTCCCCCAAAAAATTGTCATTATAGTTAAGTAGTTTAAGAATGTGCATATTAATTATCTCGGTAACGGAAGGACATAAAAATGGACATGGTTTTTCCAGTTAATTAGTGTTTATCCAAACTTTGTGAAGTTGATGAAGCTTTCCACTTGACTGAAACACATTTTGTTCCCCATAGTTTAATACATACTAATAAAACATTTCTTTTAGTATGAACCTGAAGTTCAAAAATCTTGTCTGAGTGTCCTTCCGTTACCGTGGAATTGCCCTGTGGGTAAAGGCACTCACCCCGAAAACGCACACACGACCCGGGAAGCACGACAAAAGGAACCGATACGCTTTACAAATCGTATAGAGCACGAGCTCCAGCCATGCATACCAAGCCGCGGGCAGGTCCCCGAAGAGAATGTCGTTAATTAGCATAGCAAAATATTTATTTCAAACAAAATTTTATAAAGAAAAAAAGAAAAAAAAGAAGAAAAAAAATCACTCTGCGATAGGAAAAATTTCTATAGTATTTGAAAGGATAGTATTTTTAAGTTATCATAATACCAATACTGAAAAAAAATTGCAACTGGCAGAATTCATTTCAGTGTCGATAACATGAGGAAAATACATGCATAACATCATGGCTAGTACAAATCCATGAAATAAAACAAGTAAATGTATCACAGTGCAACATTTTTGGTTTCAACTAGTCTTTCGAGTCTGTATAGTGGTCACATAATTACAAACAAACAAAAATTCCATGATTGAAAATATTGCGGAAGTGACAACAAACGATTATAAATACAAAGAGGAAGAAAAAAAAATCTATATATATATATAATATGACAAAAATACAAAAACATCATGGTACAAAATATCCATGAAATAAAACAAGTAAATGTGCCACAGTACAACATTTTCAATTTCTACTAGTCTTTCAAGTCTGTAAAGTGGTCACAATTTTTTTTTTTTTTTAATTCCATGATTGAAAATATTGCGGAAGTGACAACAAACAATTATAAATACAAAGAGGAAGAAAAAAAAATCTATATATATATATATAATATGAAAAAAATACAAAAATATCTTGACATTTTTGCGTCAAGAAAAACAAAATATACATGTACTTTATTATATGCGTAAGTACATAAATACTTTAACATGCATTATGTATATACGTTTGATTTTTAAAGCGTATAATTCATATCATATGCAAGGGCGAGACATAAATAACCGAAGTTGAAAGTCGGTGTGTCCATACAGAGTTCTATTTCGGTTTAACCATGTCCATCACATATTTCCTTAAAATGTTATGTAGAGGTTTTAATGGGCGAACATACAAGAGTCTAAAATAAATGTTCAATCAAATGTATAATTTGATCATTGTTCATTCTTTGTATGTCAAGTCATTGTTTCTCACATAGTATTTTTTCATCCTTCTTTTTTCTCTTTCGGCGTAAATAAGAGTCTGTAATGTTGAACAGAGAGAAATATAATACAGCGAGCAAAGAAGAACAAAAAGAAAACAAAAAACGTATTTTATCGTAGAATAAATACGTAGTTCATGCTTACATCTTTTGTTGTTTTGATAGGTATCATTCCTGGTGATTATTCCATGTGTTGGTGCCTTTGTTTTTCCATTGTAAGATCACAGAGGTGCCTTGAACAATTATCCTGGTGGATAGACCTCGTTCCTTTCGGAGCTTGTAGGCCTCGTTAGCTAAGATGCCGCGTCGTTGTTTCAGGACAGGCGGTAGGTCCGTCCTGACAGTGATACGGCTCGCTTGGGCAGGTGGGGTGGGCGTTGGCTGGTTACCTCCTGGTCCGGCTCCTAGGGTGCGGCTGCGTAGTTGGCGCTGGAAGAGTGATAGGACGTGATCGCGGTCGGCCATGACGGCAAATCGGGCAATGATGGGGGTCGGTGATCGGGGCTGGGTGTTCTGACCCTGTGGTAGACGGCGGGGCAATGTGGGCGTTGATTAGCGGGATAGTTTCTGCTCTGGCATTCTCCATTCCGAGCTCTTTAAATGCTTTACGAACGATGATATATGTGTCCTCGCTCTGCTCGGTCTCGTGTACTCCATATATGAGAAGGTTTTGCTTTCTTTGGTAAAGGCACCAAAGAAAAGGGCACCTACAAAGGGAAATCTCAAAGCGAAAATATACAATTTTTTAGACATTGGTATATACCCTTACATTGTGATTACAATTATCAGGGATGATTTCAATATTTGTTTCACTTTATACACCATATATATGGCTTAAGCATTATTCTTTGCAGTTGGGTTAGATTGTCTAAAAAATGTTTGTTTGCGAGCGAGGAAAATTTTAAGATGTATGAGGTCGCAGTGCGAAAAATTACATCTTATAAAGAGGAAAAAAACCCCAATTCAATGGGGTAACAAGCACATTCTCATACCGGAAGACTGAAAAGACCTTTGATAAGTAACGTAAGTATATCATCTTTAGATGTGTGCGAGCGTAGCGAGCGAGCTTTGGAGGTAAATGCTCTTAGTCGCTTGAAATTAGCTAGGGCGCGTTTGATGATGAGAGGAAAAGGGGACACTTATCAGGAAAGAAAAGGAGCATGTGCCAAAGTACAAAGAGTAATTATCAGAGGTGAAAATGGGGCACTTCTTACACCCTCAAAAATAGGCACTCACCAGGGATGAAAAAAGTCAGTCATGAGAATAGGAAATGGGCATTTGTCGACGGAAAAGAGGCCCCCGTCAGATTTTGATGGGGGCATTTATTAGATATTATTATATATAGTTTAAAGGGAAATTATCAGAGGTGAAAAGAGGCACTTATCGCACCTGAAAAGGGGCAATGCCCAGATATGCAAAGGGACACTTATGTGAATGAGAAAGGGGCACTTGTAATAAAGGAAAATGTGCATTAGTTAAAAGAAAATAGGCACCGATCAGATTTTAAAGGGGCTTTTATCGGAGGTGAAGGGGGCACTTATCTGAAGTGAAATGAGTAACTTCTAGTAACTGAAAAGGGTCATTTACAAGAGAAGGGGCACTTATGAGAAGGGGAAGGGGCTTTTTGTTAATGAGGCACTTATCATTAGGAAAAGGAGCTCTTGTTAGAAAGGAAAAAGGGCACATGTGAAAATATAAGGAGCGCTTATCCGAGTTTAAACGGGGTTAGTTATTAAAAGGGGAAGGGGCACTTCAAACAAAGGAAAAGGGGCACTTGTCAAATTAAAAGAGGCACGTACCTCTCAGATTTAAATAGGACAATTATCAGAGGTGAAGGGGGCACTTATCAAAAGTGAAAAGAGGCACTTCTCGTACCTAACTAGGGGCACTTACTAGAGATTAAAAAGGGCACTTATGAAAATGGTAAATAAACACTTATTGCAAAGGAAAATGGGAACCTGTCGAAGGAGAAGGGGCACGTGTCCAAATAAAAGGGGCACTTATCAGAGTTGAAAAGGGGAAGGGGCACTTTTCCTATGTAACAAGTAGCACTTCTTAAAAAGTTAAAGGGGCACTTTTTCTATGTAAAAAGGGGCACTTTTCGGATACCCCCCCCCCCCCGGTAGGACCGCCTCTGATAAACATACGTAAACAAAATATTTAAAAATATTATCGTGGGTTGTCGGTCCATTCTTCATTGAGGACGCGCCCCATTTTCCCCATCTCGATTTTCGCCCTCTGACTTTTAGCATTAGTTTTCATATTGCGCGTGCGCACTTCGCATCGAAGCATATCGAGCTTGCGCAACATGCTGTGCGTGCAAAGCGCATAGAATGCATGGATTACATAGTCTGCATTTGTTGCACATGTCCCACACGTAGAAAGTTACGTGTGTTGCCCGTACATATTACATCATTCATCGTGCATCGCATCGTCGAGACGTTCGCGTTCGTGAAGGCCAGCAGAATTTCCATAACTTTCAACACTTCGTCTTGAGCTGAATTACGACAAACAAAATCGAAGATTCAATATACAATTTTGCGGTGAGTAACCTCTAGAGTTCTAACTTAGTAAGCAGGATAAGCGTAAAAAAGTTTGAGTCGGAACGTTTTTTTTTCTTCCAGCTCTGCCTCTCTGCACTGCCAATCATATCAGATATCGCTCTGTCAATCATATCGCTCTGTCATCTCTCAGCTCAGTCTCATTCACCTGTATTCACCTGTCTTTTCGGGCTCCTTAGTAAGACAATGTCTTGTAATGCCCTCCCATAGTTCATCAGTACACCACTGCAAAGAGTTTGTTCCTTGTCATAGATCTACAGTAGGCCTACGTCATGTGTCTCTGACTTTTTTTAAATTTTAAAGACTAGGCCTAACGTTAGACCATTGAAACCTTTTGTTTTGTACAATTTATAGGTCTAACGAGAGCTGGAGGTTAACTCTGAGCTTTAGGACTGTTTCATTTCAGTGATTTTTTTCTTTGATTCTGTCACTTTGTCATGTTTGTTTTACTCTCGATCTCGAGTGACTCATGTGATCTCATTCTCAATTTGCATAACTTATTAAAAAGTAGCAAACAATAAGCAAACACATTAAACTCATCGTTATTTTTCCTTAATTCAGCTTAAATTTGCAATTTGAAATCTGCCTTTTTCGTAGATAAGATTGTTCCTTTTCATTGTTAGTTTGTTTATTTTGTGAGGATCATTTTTAATGAGCCATTTAATTTACGTGCTTTATTTACATTTGTTACAAAGGTTTTACACATGTGTATCTACTATCTTGGCACTGGCATTGATCCACTTCAAAGCTATGAGAGTAGTAGAGACTAGAGTACAGTCTACAGAGTTGTAATATTTTGCAATACAGGTATGTCTTCACGTATTGCATACGTTTTCTTCTTTTTTCACTCACAGAGTGGGTTTGGAATATCATCAACCACTTTTAAGTGGGGCAAGACATCAACCCAGGGGGCCAGGTGTCATTCCCATCATGGGAGGATCATTGTCCACTTCCCAGACAGTTCAGGCTGCAACCGTCCAGAGTCTCCCAGCCCCTGCTGCTGCAGGAGCCCCCTCTCCACCAGCAGAGTGCCCCATGCACCAGGGCGGTGGTGACTCCAAGACACCCACAGCAGCACAGACCAATGCCATCCCTGCAGAATGTCCGATGCACAACAAAGATGTGGCCTCCTCGGCACCGGCCAGAGACACTTCTACAGCTGCAGTCATTCCCTCCGAGTGCCCGATGTCTGGGGGAACGAACGCACTGGTTGCTGACAACAAGACAGATGACATTGATCCAGATAACAGGGTAAGTGTTTGATAAAAATGAAGTTGTTTTAAAGAAAATTTCATGGTAAGCTAATCAGTTACAGATTTAGAGGTTAAGACATACCGGTGTTGAAAGAGAGAAACCTAGCCTGTAAATAGCTAGATCCCAAATATTGAAAATGCACTAATTAACATTAGATACAGGCAGCTAGTTAATCAAAATGTGTAAAACTTAAAATAATTGATACTTAATATCTACAAAATGTAAATATCTTGTACATTAATAAAAGAATGTACCTGTACATTGAACCTAAAAAAAAAGAAAGCATGAGAACTCAAAGTTTCGTATTAAGATACTTAAAGATGAAGTTGAAGTTGAGTTCTAGTCATGCGATTGCATGTTGAAAGAAACAGGGTGGAATTGATCAGAAAAGGTTGATCATCTAGCATATTATCGGTGTACACTGCAAGGTTCTGGAATCATCAAAATGATTAGAAATTTGGCCTAGTCTTGGTAAAGTCACACGCACTGTACACAAAAAGATGTACATGGGTTTGGGTTCCACAAACATGTGGCATAAAAATCTCAGGGAACATGTTTCATCTGATGTTCCTACACACTTGCATAATAACAATGATAATGCTCACAAAGTATTTTTCACCTCTTCCCAGAACTCAACCTTCTCTTTAATCATAGCTACATGTATATGTGTACATATCACTCATACTTTACCAAACATTTTCCCAGAATTTCAGGCAAAAATAACATACAATGCAGCTAGAGGAGAAGTCTTCCCAAAATGTCTGATAATTCCTTGGAAAGATACAAAATGTGAGAGTTTCTTCTGTCTTTCAAACCACAGATGCCCCCTCCCAACCAGAGGCCGGCTCCAGACCAGCCCTTCTCCCTCTCCACGGAGCGCAAGACCTCCGGTATTCCCCGGGCGGGCAAGGATGAGAACTGGGTGTACCCGTCGCAGCAGATGTTCTGGAATGCCATGCTGAGGAAGGGTTGGAGATGGCAGCCGGAAGACATTCAACAGGAGGATATGCACAATATCATCCACATCCACAACGCTAACAACGAGCAGGCGTGGCAGGAGGTTCTCAAGTGGGAGGCGATGCATGCAAAGTAAGTGGTATTGTAGTGATTGAATGATGAAGATGGTGATGACGACGATGATAAAAGTGATGATGATGATGGTGATCATGCTGATGATGATGATGATGGTGATGGTGATAATAATGATGACGATGATGATGAATGACAACAGTGATGATAATGATGATGATGATGACAACAACGAGTCAACGACGATGATGATGATGACGACAACAACGATGATGATGATGATGATTATGAGAGGAATAGGAGGAGGGGGAGATGATAATGAAGTATTTTCCAGTTTCCAGAACCCCTTAGATAAAATTGTAGTTCATTCGTTTATTAGTTAAACTTGTGTGTACATAATTTGTTACTATTTAAGGCAAACCTGAGCAAACTTTTCCTTATCAAGAGCAACTCATGTTTGAAAGCAAGCATTAAAGTCAAGTCTGTACCTTGTTTAATTGCGTCTCTCAGCATTTATTTGAATATATCATTGCCTAATGTTACATTTCGTGTTCTTGCAGAGAATGCCCCTGTCCTAAATTGGCAAGTTTTGGCGGACGCTACAATGATCTTTCACCTCGAGCTAAGATCAGATGCTGGATGGGGTAAGTTTGTGTGGAACATAATTTATGAGACAGCAGGACTGCTCTCCGAAGAAAATACCAAACATTATTTGATGAGATGAAATAAGGTCTCATCAATTCCCATCTTGGGTTTGAGAGATAATCAATCCTGTAATTTGTCCAGTATTTATTTGGTAGACATTTATTGATAGAAATATAGGACATCAATAGAGATGGTGGTGGGGGGTTGGTAGAAGCCACAATCACAATTTTCTGTGGATAACTTTTGGAGCTATATAAGTTGTCGTGCTGAGAAACTACATTATTCTTGCTTCATGCCTCTCTCATACACTTTGGTGGGGAATCTTGTAGATTGATTGGCAAATATATGATAAATCTCTAACAATAAGTAAAGTTACTTCCTGGGGTGAGGTTTCCTTTAAAGATACTATGTCCCTTTTGCAGCCAACATCAAATTCTGTAGAACTTTGCAGGAATTATATATGTCATGTATGTCCTATCTGTGAAATTTAAACGTTAACAGTGTCCTAATATTCAAATTATGCAAGGAAACCCGTCTACTTGCTAGACTTCTCTGTCAGACACTATTGAGTGATTGACTGGCTTTTTTTCCATCTTTGGTAATAACACACATAAAATGAGCTGTACAGGGCACATAAGCATTTGTCTACGTCAATAACCCACTTCTTGTAATGGCCAAAATTAAATTAATTGAATCTTTGCGCAGCATAAAACGTACAACCATTCGGTACAATGGTCTGAAAAAATGAGACTATTACTTTCTTGCTCTATAGCTCCTAAGTCGATTTGACAACTAATAGTCGTTATTTTCCGACTTAAAAACAATTTCAAGCCCCCTTTTTTATAGGGAAGTTCTTAATTAGTATTTTCTTTCAAATGTCGTTGGAATTCAACCTTTTCATTTTTTTGGCCTGCAAATGGGACATAGTACCTTTAATGCTATTTCTTTCATTTGCATAATCCAGGTACGAGAAACCGTTTGACAGGCATGACTGGATCGTTGATAGGTGCGGTAGGAAGGTGCGATACGTCATCGACTATTACGACGGAGGACCAGTCGACAAGAAGACATTTGAGTTTGCTATCCTTGATGTCAGACCTGCCTTCGATTCACCGGGTGCTACGTGGGATCGCATGAAAGCTGCGTATTGGAGGTTCATGTACAGCAAGTAGCCTCACTTGATGAACGTTGTTGACACTTGGTGCTTTGAGCGTTGTCGAGATGAGGATCAGAGGATCATTCTGTATCAGAGTGAAGACACGTCGGAATGGAAAAAAGACATGTTGGGAGAGGATGTCAGGCCTTGTAACCTCACCATTTGAAACTTAACCTCATGTGACCCTTGACCTATTGTTTTGCTCTGTGAGCAGAAAGACAATTTGGAATTCACATGACTTTGGTCCTGTATGGTGCTTAAAGAACCAGAATGCACACCGTAGATTCATCATTACTGAATTACTGAAATGACAGCATTGTGAGTTCTTCAGAGAGTTCAGAAGCAGAGAGACAGCAGGAAATTAACTATATATTGTGTTGGGTGTCTCTCCTGTATGGAGTGCCCTGTCGGTGCAGTAATACTTTATTTACAAATTGATTTCTTATCAGAATATTCTTGTCACAGTATAACTTTGTACTAGTATTTTCTTTTTTAATTTTCCTTTTTTTCCTTGATGATTACAAATGTCTGGCAATGTTGATATCAAACTACAATGGTTTTAGAGTGGGTTTTGCTGTAAAAGTCGAATGGCTATGGTCAGCACACCTTGCAATATGATTATCTTGTAGGTTGCATTTCCTATACGATGTGCACAATAATTGCAGTCACTCAGTTTATGACAAAGGTCATGATCAAAATTATTTTTGTCACCTTAAATTTATACTGGTACCAGTATTCTTTTTTTCAAGTTTCCTTCCTTTTTCAGTTTACAAAATACTGCAATATGGAAATGAAACTCTTGTTTTTGGAGTTAGGTTTGCCTTTAATAGCCTGAATGGCACATTAACATGTATATGTGTGAGCATACATTGCAAGATTGAACCATGATCAGGACGTAGGTGTTAAAAATGCTTTTCTGTTTGCGAGATCTCATGTAGGATTTGGTGTTGTATACATGTGTAAGTAGGATTATTTTCACAGTGATATTTTTAGTATCATTTTTTTAACCAGAGCTCTTTTTCAGAGCTTTTTGAGCTTTCTTACAGCTCCGATGTATTGTTGTTGTTGATGTGTAGGGTGATGACCTGTTGTCCCAAAGCAAACAAGAAGGTGTACCACACTTCACATTTCTGTATCTTAGAACACAGAGCTCAGCGAATACTTGTAAGACCTTTGCAGTTGGCATTTATTATTTCATTTACACGTGAGAAAACCATTGCAATTTTGTGTGTGTGGCAGTTTATCGTGTCATATCTGAACACGTCCTAATGGTTACCGGTATTATTTTGTCACTTTTGGGTCAACTTTGAGTTGATGAAGTGGTTGTAGCATGGGGGAATAGAGTCTAGACCCTATCTTTATTCTGTACTGTAGCTATTTGTGCCATTTCAGAGTAAACAACCTTTGCGGCTCCCGTCAATAAGAGGTTTAAGCAAAGTGAGGATATTTGAGAATGTGGAACTATCAATCACCAAATGTATATTTCAAATGTAGTTGATAAGGATACATTTATAAGTTGGAAACTGCATGAAATCATCTGTCTTCGGGGGAGTCCACTCTAGCATGAGTTCAGCTTAAACATTAATATCTCCAATATTTAACCTTATGAGCACCTCTCCTATTTGTTTTTCCTTAAATACATGTAGTTCATATTTCTTTGTTGTCCTAAGCAAATCCTATATTACAAACTATATCCTAGATAATGTATGTACATGTATTTGATACATGTTTGTAAACACCGATTATATGAACATGTTTACCGCATTACTCTATTGCTTCATCATCAAATTTTAGGTATTGATTTTTTTTTAAAGCACAAAGCAAACAGGAGAGGTGCTCTTCAGGGAAATCACAGAACATAACTTTTTTATCTTTTATCTGATTTTCCCTCAAACTATCTCTGACCTTTTCATTCATTGTCTGTCTGTTGTCTGCTAAAATCAACTTGATATTAGGCTGGAATGCCCCCTTTAATAGGTTTATGGGTTTTATGTGTAAAATGATTCTGTTCAGAGTGCTCTTCATATACTGTATGTATGATAAAACCTATCATACTGAGAACATTTCTTAAATTCCCTTTAGAGAGTGTGTTATATAATGTATCAATGGGGAATTAAGGAAAGTATATATTAGTCCTTCATATTTAAACAAGTTGTAACACACTGTTAATCATTGTATTCAAGGCCTGTATGATGAATGTATTGTCTGTTGAGAAACAGAAGGGCATTATCATACTGCAACCCAGACTAACATCCTTCTGGCTCTGAACAGTCGATGTCACCTCTAGCGTACCACACGTTTTCAATTTAGAAATCATGATAGTTACTTGGTACCAGTCCATGCTGTTCCACCATATATTTCTTCAGCTCTATATTTGACTTTCCTCTGCATTAAACAGAAAATTGATCTTACAGGGCACGATGTGCTCTACAAAATGTGTTTGCTGGCCTCCTGATCATCTGTTGAAGATAATTGTAATGTCATCAATACAGTTCAGCACCTTTATAAGATACCTGTCTTCATATAAAAGGCCATTACTAAAATGATTTTGAATTTTCATGTGTGTCTGAGTTGATATACAATGTATGTCACGATTGCTAGCCATATTTTGAGAGTTGAATATTATATATCTGAACTTTTAAAGAGCTGTTTTTATTTCCTTTCTTGGATGCCTATTGGGATTGAGTCCCCTTTTACAGTATTGAATAAAGTTGGAATATATTTAAAGAAGTTGTGGAAGGATTGATTTTTTTTGGGTAGTAATAATAACATTCTGTTAGGAGAGGGATGTGAGTAATACGGTATATGTATTGGGGAGACAAAAATGAGAGAAGAAGGAAAAGAGATAGAGAGAGAGAGAGAGAGAGAGGACAGAGGTGAGAAAGGGAGAGAGAGAGAGAAAGGGAGCGAGAGGGGAGAAAGAGGAGAGAGAGAGAGGAAGTAAGTGAGAAAGGGAGAGAGAGAGAGGGGAGAAGGAGAGAGAAAGGAAGGGGGGGGGAGAGAGAGAGAGAGAGAGAGGGGGATGGGGGTATGATATATGGAGAGGGCAGAGATGGGGTGGGGGTGGGGGGAGAGAGAGAGAATGAAGTACAAATATATCAGAGCATGGTAAATTTGAAATGACTAGAAACCTTTACTTACTTTGGGATCCCTCCCCCCCCCCCCCCCCACCCGAAGAATGTCATATTTAAAACAAAAAAAAATCCTCCTGAGCTTAATAATGCATATTCATGAGTAATCCGCTGCTCCTGATCCCGGATGCGTTATTTTTTTATGCGGCACAGATTGGGGCATGGCGCGTGTTAAACCTATGGGAAGTACGCTATTTCACTTCTGAATAGTGTCTGCACGTACGTGAGACTAGTCATGTTCGCTAGCGCATTAGCGCTGCGAAGAAGTTTGTATATATACATCGCGAACTATGTGTTTAGATAACATTCCTCTTCGTTTAAGTTAGTTAAGTTTTATTGACTAATTATTGTGATGTTCTCCTTATTGACGTGCTGCCTCCTCTTCAGATTTCCAATTTGATTTTAATTGTTGATGTAATGATTTTCCATGCGGTACGCCGGTAGTGGATTACATGTAACACTATTAAAAACAGACCTCTACTACTGTCTAGTACGCACACGACCAGTATTAGTCTGTAAATCAAGGCCCCTTTTAAAAAAAAGCCCCAATCTGTGCCGCATAAAAAAATAACGCATCCCGGATATATATCGAGCAATGCATGCAGAAGATGTTGAGAAAAAAAAAGAGTTTAATTTAGACCAGCGAAAACTGGGTTTACTATGAAAACATGAATGAAAAGTGAAAGAGTGAGGAGGCGAAGCGAGATCGGAGAACATATCTAAGTAAAGCTAGTCAAACATTAGAATATTTGTAAGTATGGACGTCTTCTGGTACCCATCTTCCAATAATTGAAAAAGAAAGATGCATATTCATTGTCATTAGTATAAAGCTTACTGTTGTTTTCGTTGTCAATCTGGAAACAACTGTCACCGACACTGCACCACTCAGGCACTGCACCGAGCTGGTGTGTGAGTGCGATGCCCGTGACACAGCCCGCGGCAGCCGCCCCGTGCTGCAGCGCTGCAGCGCTGCCTGAGTGCAGTGCATGCAGAGCTGGCTAAGAGACAGTGCACCGAGTCTGTCTGTGAGCAAAATTGAAACTGATGATGATCGATGAGTGATAATGCTTCCCTCAATTGATGACTGACAGATTTGGTGTTTCCACTTTAAGTAATGCAATATACTCGGTGTTTGTAGACTGTAAGGCTTTTGCTGTTTTGCATGCATGAATCAACTCCTTGTTTGTGGCAGGGTATCAATCGAACTCAAACAAGGCCTAAAAAAGCCATGGCCAAATTAGACTGAAAATTTCTGTCTCTTTCGTTTGTTAGCCTCTTAATATTTACGAGTAGGGTCGGCTCCTCTCCATAGCCTAGGGTTTAGATCTTTTCCGCATAGACCTACTGTGCCACCAAACTTTGGCGCTTGTTCAGAAGCCTATCCAAAATTTGAAGGCGCCGATTTGTGCTTGTGAACTTGTCACAAAAAATAGTAACAATGTCGTTTTTAGAAGAATGTGTAAGATCATTAATATAAATTAAAAACAGTAGAGTACCTAGGATAGAACCTTGTGGTACGCCATGTGTAATAGAAGAAAAATTTGAGGAATTATTATTATAAACTTCATAGATCTATTGAGATCTATTAGAAAGATTACTTTTAAACCAAGATGACAGACAAATTTGAGTGCTGTTGTAGTTTCCGAGTGGCGAGTCACCACACTGATTACTGAGCTGGGAGACATTGCCCGGCATAGCACCGGGTGGAGGGGTATCAAAACTTTATTATTTTTTTTTTGTACCTGTGTATAAGACACACCCCCGACTTTCAATCTTTTTGGCGGCAAAAAAGTGCTTCTTATAGTCTACACAGAGATTTACGGTATGCTGGGGGGAAAAATGGTACTTTATTTACTGAAATATTTCATATTTTCTCCATGAACCTGGCAGGTTTTAATACAGACTGAAGAGACGTGGGGATGGCATCCCGTAGTGCAAAGAAGAGCAGCTCCGCCCGGAGGAGTGGAGGTACTTCATCAGAGGTGAACCCAGATGCAGGAGGAAGCAGTGATGAAGAACAGGTAATGAAGATCAGTGATAAATACAGAGAAACCAATGCATGGGACTGATACTGATAGATGTGTGAAGAATGTAACATTTACATGTAAATCTTGTAGGTTGCAAAGGAGCTCTGGAAAACTTATAAAGAACTTGGAGAAATCAAAAAATATAATAAAACTTCCCCCCTCCCCTCTCTAAAAAAATACATCAAATTAAAAGAACTCGTTGACAAATTAGATGGTTTACTTCACACTTGTTGAATGAATACAACTACATGTAAACTATTTGAATAAATGACGAAATGATGTCTACCTTATCCCTGTCCCAGCACTAATGTTCTTTGGCAAGATATTAAAGGTAATCAAAGTTTTGGTATGGGGTCATGAATTTGGTTCAAATTAACATATTCAAAGCATATGCGATCCTACATGTATAATATTCAGTGATCGTTGTCGCGGTTGAAATCGAGTCTAAAGTTATGAAATTGTAAATAATAAACTCTTTGGCCCGAATTCACAAAGTAGGTTTGTCGACAAACATTCTTTTGTTTCGCCAAACCTCCTTTTGTTCTTTACAAACCAGGTTTGTAAAAAACGTGTAAAAACGTGTCATATGACGTACAAAAACCAAGGTTTGTCGACAAACCTCCCTTGTGAATTCGGGCCTCTATGTTGTATAGCTCCCTCTCAAGGTCAAGATATTAATTAAGCTATAAAACAATGTTTCTTGACTAAAATCGAACGAGATAGATAGATAGATAAATGGTATTTATTGATTCATTTCCATGTATCGCAGTTACAAGTAACTGAATTGTGCATGAATAAAACATTGATGGTGAA